GGAGGTGGCTATTGTTCACTGCCAGGGACACCAGACAGGTACCGACCTTATCACTAAAGGGAATGCTCTAGCCAATGCTACTGCCCAACAACTAACTTTGGGTCCTGATTATTCCCCAGTATTGTTTCTCTCCCCCTCTATAACTCCTAATTATTCCAAAGAGGAAAAACAACAACTTTTAGACCACGGTGGAATGGCTGGACAACAGGGATGGATACATTTTAAGGACAGGATAGCCCTTCCCCAGGCCCAGGCCAGAGAGATCATATCTACAGTTCACCAATTCTTCCATACTGGTCCAGAGGCTAAGTACAGGTTTCTCTCCCCTATCTTTGCCCCACCTGGGCTCCGGAAGACCATTAACCAGGTACATATGGATTGCACCACCTGTCATAATGTTTCCTCTCAAGGCATCCTCAAACGCTGTGTGGCCCTCCACCAGCTGTGGGGAGCACTACCTGGACAAGATTGGCAGATTGATTTTACCCACATACCTAGACACAAAAAGTTCAGATACATTTTCAGGTTGGATCGAGGCCTTTCTTACTTGCCAAGAGACTGCATTGGTGATGGCAACGACATTGGTGGAACACATCACATCATCCCTCGTTTTGGCCTCCCAATGTCACTCCAGTCAGACAACAGACCAGCTTTCATCTCAAAGGTCACACAACTGGTGGCTGACTCTCTAAATATCTCCTGGAAACTACACATACCCTATCACCCTCAATCCTCGGGTAAGGTGGAAAGGACCAATGGCCTTCTCAAGGATCAACTTACCAAACTCTCCTTAGAGGTAAAGACCTCCTGGCCAGACCTACTTCCAATTGCTCTCACCTGATTACAAGCAGCCACTAGGGGACCCACCGGACTAAGTGCCTTTGAGTTAATGTATGGCAGACCTTTCCTTCTAAACACAGGCCTGACTACAACTCCACCCCCTCTAGCCTCCTACCTACCTTACTTCTCACTCCTAAGACATCTCCTCAGGGAACATGCAGACCAGTTCCTGCCTCAACCCACCCCCAACTCGGATCCAGGAATCACAGAGGTTCTATAGCCAGGAGACAAAGTCCTTCTTAAAGAACTCCAACCTCGGTCACTCCACCCATGGTGGACGGGACCATACACGGTGATCCTTACCACTCCCATGGCTGCCAAGCTATTGGGACACTCCCCTTGGTACCACTTCTCCAGGCTCAAATGAGTGCCCAGTCATGATAGGTGGAGGTCTAGAGAGACAGGGCCCCTCTGTTTGTGCCTTACTCACACTGGTGCTGGCCACAATGACCCATCCGACTCCGGCACACTGGGTCTGTAACCAGTACCTCATATCGGGTATGCTCCAACTACACCAATTGGTCCCCTGGACATGCTATTTCCAAAAGATACCTTGTCAGCAGGGAGACCAATTGTACTGGGCTGCTATAATGTTAAGAGATTTCCAAACTGGCTGCCCAAGAGGATTCGGCAAGCCCATTTTCTGGGTATGAGACCCTCCACCAAATCCCCAAGGAAAGATACCCCCTTGTCCTGCCCAATGCTCATCTTTCCATTCTTTCATCCAGGCTGCCTGCTACGAATGAGCCTCAGTCTGTCTCTCACCATCCAGACAACAGTACTGGACGGGGCGAAGCCTGGGTGATCATGGATATGTCTGTCCTGAGAGACAAGGACAACATATCTGCTGGAACCTCCGGCCACCGATAGGGAGGTTGGATGGTAGAAGTGCACAAGACTATGCTGGTACATCAGTACTCGCCCCTTCCCTCCAAGCCTCCTCCAGCCTCCCACCAGCCTTAACCCTGCCATGCCACCCCCCTCAGCCAGAAGTAGCCAGATGGAGTTGGCACTCATTATAACCAAAAGGCTGGAATGTAAGGCTGGAGGCACCGGAGGGAGGGGTGAGCATATCAGATGAGCTCAGCCCTCACCAAATAAACGGGGCAGCAAAGCCCCCAAACCCGGCCTAGTAAGGGAAAGAGACCAACAGATTCTGGCCTGATGACGTGCCAAAATCCCTGGCTGCTGCCCCCTCCCAACCTGGAAAAGGAGTCCTTTGTCTACTGTAAGGGCCAATGACATGTGCCTTAAGCTAGCCAATCCTCATGCCACTGCAGACCTATGCTCTCCCTCCCCCTAACTTCTTTATAAAGTCACTGCCTGCCCTGCTGGGCGCAACTTCTCTGGCCTGTGACTAACCAGACCAGTGAACATCGCCCAGGATTGCTCCCTATTAAACTTTTGGCTGCTTTGTTTCCTCCTTGCCTGGTCATTTCAGCTCAATCTTACCTTACAAGAGTGAACTCTGCTTTATCTACTACAATTGAAGTCAAATTCTATCAACAAACCAACCTTCACTTAAAAATCTGCAGAGGGCAGGAACTATGTCTTCCAGTAACTCTCAATGACCAGGATAAGTAAAGGTTTATTAATGAAGACTATAACTATATTCTTGCATGAAAATCTATCAGAATAATTTCTTTCTTTTATTATTTACAAATTTGAACTGTGATGTCTTTTTTTAGAAACTATAACCACCACACAACCATTGCACTTCTATAAACTAATAAAGCCAGAACTTAAGAATAAACACACCAAAGTCCTCTTCCTCAGCTCATTAATCACAAGCATCTTTCAAAAGGACACAAGAAACAGTGAACATTAGATTAACACACATCATGAGTTCCTGAACATATTCCCTGAAAGTCATTATTTCCTGATTCGCAGCGCAATTCAATGGATGCCCAAAAGAGCTATGGGGTCCCCCAAGGAATTCCCTTGCAGCACTTCCCCAGATGCTTTAATGCTAAAATTATCCCCAGATACTGGAGAGGGAGACAAGTATGGTGATTCATTTCTTCTATCAATGAGAATGAAAATAGCAATTTTCAATATGTACTCCCCTTCACTCCCCAAAAAAGCAAAAACAAACAAGCAAGACCGAACAAAAATGTTTATAACTAAGTTCAGGAGACATTTGCCTAAACAAATTAGATGGAATTCCTTTGACGTAAAAAACTCAAGTGGTCTTAAGATGCTAATCTGCACTGTGAATTTCTAAGGGGCTGTAGGATGTTGGACGAGTTGACTGTGCCTCACAGCATCGACAAGGCATTGTGGCTTCAATAATATTTTTGGCATTTTCTGATAGATTATGAATAAACTCACAGAAACAACATCCAACTCTCAGCAGTTCATAATAACATGCACAAGATCTACATGGATAACTAAATCCAGGTCATTCATTTTAGTCAATAATTCTGTCTCATTACTAGTATTTCATCAGTGCCATCAACACTGAGTATAAGGATGATGAACACATGGCTAAGGCCAAATAATGGAAAGAAAGAAAAATATAGAAAGAATTCAGGGACTGTCTATGATTCAAATTAGGAAAATAGCCAGAGAGAGCCAAAAGACTGTTTCCATTTTATTTGCCTAAACTCCTCTATTTGAGTGATGTTATCAAGGGGAAAAAAAACTACAAAAGATTTTTCATTATCATAATTATCTTTGAAACAGGCAAGTTATCTGCCATTCCCTGACAGGGCCATATTAAGATGACCCTACAGAATGCCCTGCACAGACTACACCCACTCCTGGGAGATAAGATGACCCTTCCCCAGTATGGCCTCCTCCCTTGATTCTGAATATAGAATTTAATGGAGCAGATGAGTTCTCCCTGAAGTTCCTGAAAATCCATGAAGACTATGCCAGACACACTTGGAGTTCCTTGCAAAATTATGCATACTTAGTTAATGTAGGCCGAGAAAGGCACTATACATGAGAAAAAAATAAGAGAACAAACACAGGACAATCATACCCATCCTAAGCATAATTGTGCCAAAATATTCCAAGGAGGCTGCATGGGCCAAAGGACTATTTTCAGGCATTGACATGTCAGCACAGTGGGGTTATAAATACAGAATTACAGTAATGCTAAAATGATACCCATATTGTACTTAATAAATTAAAAAGCAAACTAAAGAAAGTGGTAAACTAAAATAGTTTACAAACTCGTTAATGTACAACTAAATTATGTACTTTGTAGAATTTGGAATTCAAGTCAGTAGCACTAGGACGATGAAGATTTGAAATGCATACAAAAGGACTCCTAGTGCATTACCTGAGCCCACTTCTCACTAAAAGTCAGGAACCTCCATTCAACATTGGTACTTGGAAACTTCATACTTCACTCTGTGATGAACCTACTAGAAAACTATATTCTCATTTGTGGTAAATAACAATAATTTTTATCATTCTAAACTTAAAATTGAGATGTTTATTTACTTCTTTTCAACTGGACACCTCTATGGCATTTTGAAAATCTCAGTCCAGTGTTTATTCTTAATATCAAAGTAAGACTGGAGATGCTGTGTGTCCAAAGTGTTAGCTTCTCCTTTGTACAGCACCACACTTTATCAATGATATATACTGCAACTATTCCAGACAAGGGGAAAAGATAACAATTCATGAGCCACAACCTGAACAGAAGGACTATTTTCTACGAGCAAAAACTGAAGGAAAGATTCTACAATGATTTGTTTTTCATTCCACCCATCTCATCAAAATTAAAGAAAAAGTTAATTGAGCTTAAGAAAGATATGACATAATAAAAACAGACACTGTGCATAATTGGACAATGTAAGCCAAAGTAAATAATGATGATATATTCTCAGCCCTCCAGTGTTCACCAGTTTTACTATTTTTAATTTTTTCATGATGCTTAATACCAAGATCTGTGACAATGTTTCTATGGTCTTATTTCCCTACTTGGGGCTGTCTCTGAACAAAATACATTATCAGAAGAGAATGTATTTTTCTCCAAATGTCAACTTTTATTACAGTCAACAGATAAAAATATAAAAAGGTCACTTCCCTAGAGATAAATAAATACCATAAGGATTTTTAAATTACCTCACTCTGACACTAAATTCTACAAACACTAGAGACAGCCACATTTTTATTAAGAATGTGAAAAATTCAGTGTTACTCACAAGAATAGTTCCATAACTGAAAAGGAACTCTTCTGTTACAACTTGAGGTCGAAATACCTGTGTGATGAGAGTTTGCACAGATTAAATCTTGAAAGCCATGAGCAAAAAAAGAAAAAATGAAAATGTTTTGTCTAAACTGGCATTTCTCGGCTCCAGTTTAAAAGGAAGGGAGTCACATGTACATTATATTTTTCCTAATAAAAAGAGTACCTGAGAAGTTACGAGGTGAAGCACTACAAGCATCAGGGGTAGACACATCTTCAGCTGCCTCGCTTGAACTGTGGATGGGTGTTTACGACCTGAAACACTGGCCAAGGTATCAAGAATGTCGCCTGCAAAGCACATCCCAGAGCATACATGGAGGTTAAAGACCACAAATACTTAGGGCCCACAGGTCTTTGCTTGAACTCAGTGGGATCACAGGGATAATTACTCTTCAAATGAAGGAAGTGGATAAAACCTGTGTTGTTTTACTCACAAATACTGAGATTAGAACAGATGGTCCTCTGGGGACATAATGAATATAAACTCGATCTCTGATCTAGAAATTTTAAATAGAATTTACAAATGGTAATCGTAGAGTGGTGGTTTTAAAAATTATTTTTTGTATTTTCTAAACTTCAACCATGAGCACTTCCTACTTTTGTAAACAGGAAAAAAGCCCAAGTTCTTGAAAATTATAAATGAAGAAACTTTAGACCATAGTTTTTAAATCACAGAATAGGATGGAAGAAAAGAGATCAATTTCTGTAACTTTCCATTGGCTGATAAATCCAACAATAAATAAAACTTGAATTGTGGACATCTGAATCTTATCATCACACCCTAATACAGAATGAGTCTGGTAATAAGAAACTCAGGTATCAACTGACTAGATCATAGCCTTTGAGTTGAAGCTTAAAATAAGATCACAATCCAAAATAAATTTGCTCTATTTTCAGTCACTGACAGGCAAAAAAAATCTCCCCAAGTATAAGTAAGGAGTAAAAAGGTACTATCAATCAGCAAGGAATGTATTTTCACTACTCTGATTTAATATGCTGAATTTCTGAATCTAAGTATATTTTGCTATAATGGGCTGGATCAAATTTAACACCTTAAACATCTCTGGTTTATAGCTACATCTGCTGGAAAAGCCTGAAATGGGATTTAAACCAAACATATGCATTCCTTAGATTATTATAATTTCTGCAAATAACATTGAAATAAGGAATTAGCTATAATAAACATCTTTTGTAAATCATTATTAGATATTTTTATTTTTATTTTTTCAAGCCAAATAAATTCACAAACTTTGAATACTAGTATCAAAATTATTCAATATTGAATGTTAATAATGCTTATGCATTTTCAAATTCTTTTAACAATAAATACATTTGTGGCTGTGATCTGAAGGAAAAAATTTTTTCTTCACAATTAGGCAAAGAGAAATCTTGAGAAAAGTTACCTAAAGTAATAGTACAAGTCCAATTTTAAACAATTAAAATGTTCTTTTATTTTCCAATATTGCCAGTTTACCACAGATAGCACCTCATATAACATTTAGTTTGATCATTGCCTCAATCATGTCATTGATGCAACGTAATTATAAAAACAAGGCAAATTTAAATCTTCAAACTACACACTGAAGACAGTGTCACTGCAGTCACCGGCAAGAACAGAGAAGCCCAAGCAAAAGAGAGATGATGCCTAAGGGCTAAGCTGCAGAGAGGTAAACAGCCAGGGGCTGAGGACGAGACTGGTTTACCCAGGACACGCGGCGGCTCCTGCACGAGGTGGTGGATGAGAAGAACCAGGCATTTGGACAGGTACTCGTTGCCACTTTGCTGCTCCTTGCCTGCAGCTATCTTTCTGCTGTCTCTCTCGATGTACATCACCAGTCTACATACAGGAAAGTGCAAAAGATTACCTCTCATGATTAAGCATCTCTCTGAGAATGCTGCCAAGGCAAGTGTTTCCAGGGGCACAATTCCAACCATGCTGACATTTAGATTTGTAGCATTTAGTCAGGTACAGTTCACTTTGCCTTAGAAAAATCTAAACGTTCATGCAAAAAGAAAATAAGGCAACGTCAAATATCTCTGCCAATGCATTACAAAACGATGCCCTGATCTCATTTGTACTTGGCCCAAGAAAAGAAACCACATCCTTCAGATGACAGATGAAAGGCATCTGGACAGAAGAGGGCTCTTGGTGTTTCAAAGATTCAAAGTAGAACCACAAGCTGTCTGCACTCTGTTGGCCATTAGTATTAAAATTGCTGGGCACCGTAGGCTAGTCACACATTCCAGGTCCTTCAATAAATAGTGTGTATAAAGCCAAAGAAATAGATTCATTTCAACAGTTGGTGACTCAGATAGCAGACAATACCTGAACATCCAGATTTCACATGTCCTTTTCTCCCCTAGTTTTATGATATCTTTTAATAAACCAATTCTTCTTCAACACATTGGCATTCAGTAAACATCAATCTCTGAACCAACTATTTCCAACCCAGACCTTGGAATCATGGTAGACCATCACTCTAGATAGAATGATGCTGAAAATTTTTAGACCCACATTTCATCCCCTCTGCTGGACCCACCAGTTATCTTCCCAAATTGCCATTCCCCTCTGCTCTACAGGGTGATGAGTTCACTGGTTCCACATGCAAAAGCCCTTTTACAATGTGCCCTGCTCTGCCCCTTGCCATCACCCATCTTTCTGGCTCTCCTATACTCACTCACCCCACCCAACTTTACTTCCCAGAGAGAACTTCCAACCAGCTGCTACCAGACACTGCAGAGATAGTTTTGGACATAATACATGTACCTAAAATATACCGAAATCTTAACCCTTAGCATTTATATGGTTCTCTTAGTAGCTTCACACATGTATTTGCCTTGCTACATTTCTATTATTATTTGGAGTTCTATTAATGGAACACCCAAGGATGACACCAAATCAAAGGCTTAAGTTCTGTTCCAGCCAACCAGCATCCTCTGTTCTAGTCAGTGATTACAGCCCAGCCCTAGCCACACTCTAACAAATATATGGCACTGGTCATATTGGAGAGAAAATATTTATGAGTCCAAGAAATTATCAATATTAAAGAATTCAGAGCACAAAACTTCTTGGTAATGAGTAAATCATAGAAGTTAGAGCCCACTATTTCATAAGTGGAATCCATAAAGGTATAATCCTTTAGGTATAAGATGAAGGAGGTCTGTAAAATATGGTCAATATTGTTGCTAATACTGCATTATATAATTGAAATTTGCTAAAAGAGTAGGACTTAAATGTTCTTATAGGCAAATATGCGAGGTGATAAATATGTTAACTAACTAGATGGGGGAATCTTTTTATAATGTATACATGTATCAAATCACCATAATATGTACTTCAAATACCTTATAATTTTATATGTGAATTATATCTCAATAAGACTGAATTAAAAAAAACAAATTGGGAAAAAATATTTCCATTTCATATCACAAAAGGCTATTTTATATATATATATATATATACACACACACACACACATACATATATATGCCTCCCAGATAGCAATTACAAAAAGACTGACAAACCAAGAGAAAAAGTGAGCAAGGGCTAGGAAAGGGCATTACACTGAGAAGAAAACATAAATGGCTCAAGCAAAAAGATGCTCCACTCTGTCCATAAGAGAAATATATATTGCTTTTCTTTGCCTTTAACCACTCAGATGGCCAAAATTCAACAAGTTTGATAGCCAAAAATGTTATGACGACTCTAAGGATGCTGATACCCTAGTATATTGCTGGCAGAAATGCAAGTCCCATGGAAAATAGGTGGGAGCATCATCAAATTAAAAGTCTAGTAATTCCACCTCTAGGAAGAAATTACTGTATGTATATATATACTTGTATACATATGACACATATTCATATTTTTTTGTTTATAACAGCAAAAAAATTTGTAGGGAAATGTCCAACAAAAAGGACTGGTAAATAAAATATGTCCATCATTACAATGTGAATATAAAAAAAAACTTAGGAAGCTCTCTGTATACTATGGGGAAAGAACTACAAGATACGTTGTTAGGTAAAAAGTACAAAATAGTATGGTTTTTGCTTAATCTATATTCATATTTGCTTGAATTAAAAAACTCTGGAAGGATAAATGAGCCATAAGCAACTAATAATAAGCTTAATTTTACATGATGGTGATGTTTCTCACTTTTTGAACTTTTTTGGTTTTTGAACTATGAGTACAAGTTATTTATTCAAAAGTTTAATTAAAATGTTTTTAAAACATGAAGTAATATCATTATCCTCCAGAGCCAATTTTTTAAAATTGTTTAGGTAAGGGAATGCTCAATTAGCAGGACACCTTACCAAATGAGATACGCTAAGTGCAGGCAAAAAGACTACCCCTCTCTATAAGATCTATAAATCTACGCTCCCTCACAGTGCCAAGTGTCAGCTGACTTGAAATACGAAGTAAACCAACAGCAGTACAGCGACATACCCGAAATGTTGCTATGGCCAGTCCCCACTGTGATTTCTAGATTTTTTTCCTTTCCTTCAGTAGAGCTAATCTTTTCCTTTGACAATGTTAAGACAGAGGTGTCAGCCAAATCTGTATGTAATTCCAGCTCTAGCACTTTTGAACAGCATGGTCTTGAACAAACTTCCTAAACTCTTAAAAGCTTCAGTTTTCTAATTATAAAATGGATAATAATGCCTGCCTTGGAGGACTGCTGTGAGGATTAACTGAGATAATAGCTTGGGACATGACACATGGAAAATACTCAAAAATACGGCAGCTCCTAGTATCAATTTCTATTATTAGTAGTTATTATAATTCATTATTATTATAACCACCACCACCAAACTCAAGACACTGCTTTCTTGAGTGCACATATCTTAAGAGAAAATTCTCAGAGAAGGCTAACCCTGCTTCTCGTCCTACTCTCTGACTCACAAGTCAGCATGGTCAAAAATCCTGCTTCCTGCGTCCCCTGCACTTTGGACCGCAAAAATCCTCCCTGAACTTTGGAACACTGCCTCAACCGAATAAAATGAGAGAGTGGATGACATAGCTCTGCAGCTGCTATAAAAATATAGGTCATTAAAACTTTTCTACACCTTTTGATGTAAGAAAAATGTAAACATTTCCTTTAAGGAAATAAAATAACTATTGGGCCAGTTTTATTTTAAGTGAACGTGCAGAATGTACAACCATTTATTTACTCATTCTTCTAGTAAGAGAGATTACAGCTGCTTTCAGCTTTTTTTCTTAAAAACCATACTGCTGCATCTGTCTTCTGGCATACAGGTGCAAGAGGTGCTGAGGTACACACAGAGGAGTGGACCTCAGATGCTCCACTTCACGACAATGCCAATGGCTTCCCAAAGTGATGGTCCCAACTGACTCCCATCAGCAGTGAACGAGCTTCCTCTGAGTTACAAATTCACCAGGTTATCTAGTTGTATCAGATTTAGTCTTTACCCATCTGTATTTTGTGGTCATAATTTGAATTTTCACAATTATTTATATATTTTTTTTCTTTGCTGCTCATATTCCCTCTTCTGTGAAATGCCTGTCCAGGTCCTTTGCTCATCCTCCCATTGGATCGCGGACCTTTTGTACTGGTCTGTAGGCATTATTTATATGGTCTGGATCTTTCTCTTCCCCTTCTTTTCCCACTTTTCTTGTCCTTCTTTGTGTCTTTCACACTGAAGTCCTCAATGTACTGGAAACTGATTTATCATACAGATTGAGGAAGGAATCCAAATCCACTGCTGACCCAGGTGGATAACAACTTACTGGCACTACTGATTTAAAAAGTACTTTTGAAAGTAAAGGTGAAGAAGGGTAAAATAACTATATGGCATAATCTGACTAAAAAGCAAGTTGACCCCTAGATTACCTCCTATCCTCAATAAATCTAGGTGACTGCCATGAAACCTGTACCCAGGCAGATAGAAGTCTGAAGATTTATTCTCTTGAGAAAGTAAAACCAAAAGTTTCCAGAGTAGGAGAAAGCAGACCAAGTCAAAAAAAGCACTATCAAACTATAACAGAGAAAGAATAGGTGAATTTCCATACAACAAATACTGGAACTTCAGTTCAAGTTCCTGGGACTCTGGCAGCCAGGTCCCTGCCTTCTACGCAGATAACTGGAATGCTCTTCATGCTCTTCAGCAAAACTAACTGGCCCAAAAGAAACATCCTAGAGATATTAATGCTAAAGTTCACATAAAAAACATCCATACAGATGATCTTAGTGTGAAGCTCGAAGTCAACAAAATTTACCATGCACTGAAAGTTTCTAGAACTGCCTGACATTCCTTCAACACTTAATCATAACTAGACAAACATTTCCAGTTATCTGAGAGCATAACTTCTTTGCTAGGTATTATATTTGCTAATATAAATCCATGTTCTTTTACACTGCTGCATGTACTGTGTGTGAACAATTTATTCATTATATTGTTGATGAGTGTTGGAGCTGTTTCAATTTATGAATAGTGCTAAGCATATCTTTTGCTGGATGTATGTGAACATTTCTGTTAGATATATACTTAGAAGTGAAATTCCTGAATCACAAAACACACCTAGATTTAGTTTAATACACTCTGTTAATGATCAGTTTTCTAAAGTAATTATTAAGTCAATTTATACTCCAACAGGCAGATAAAAGAATGACAGCTGCTCTACATGCTTGCCAAAATTCTGCATTATCGGGCTTTTTAATTGTAGACATTCTGATGGGTATCCATTGGTATCTCACTGTGATCAAACCGAATTTTCCTGATAACTAATAAGGCTATACATCTTTTCATGTGTTAAATGGCCACCTGGAGATAACCACTTCTGTAAAGTACCTGTTCAAGTCTTATGCTCATTTTTCTGTT